CCATACCTACCCATGCTCACCCCTAGCAGCAAGCCTAACCCGAGTAGATCAAGATCATGGATACAATTTCTCCATGACGTAACGTAAATAAGTTTTATTTATTTATTTTTAATGACTTTTAATTGTCGGACAAAATTACTATGCATAATACCATTAATACATTCTATCATGAATGAAAATCCACATTTTCTCATTCGATGTCTTCTGTTGTAATGATTTTCCATTAACTTTAACCCCAAAATGTTTTAACTAAGGGTTGACATAAAGACAAAATAAACTTGTTGGATGGATTTGAGACAAAAGAAATGTTAAAAAGACTGCTAGAGATATTATCTCAAATTGAAAGAGTATTGAATTTTGGGGCCGAAAGGAGTCCAAATGATTTGAAACTCAAGAGAAAGGCCCTGAGGCCCAAACCCCAGCAAGAATTGATTATTTTGCATGGAAGTTGCTAGGAACACTCTGTTCAAGGCTGCTACCATGAAGGGGATGAGCAACCAAATCTTCATAGTTTATTCTTATGGCATAGCTGCTCTTCTTCTCCTCCCAGCTCCCTTCTTCTCCTTCAGGTCTCTGTTTCTGTGCTTTCCCTTTTTTTATTACTCTCGAAAATCCAGGAAATTTCACTGATTTTCTCTGGTTTTATTGCAGATCAAGAGTACTTCCTCCACACAGCACCTCCATCATCTGTAAAATTGGCCTTCTTGGGCTCATTGGGTAAGTCATACAGTTCCCTCCTTTCATGATTTTGAGAAAAGACCCATGATTCTTAACAGGGTATTCTTCAATTAACGGCAACCTTTTAAGTTGTAACTGTTCTGTTATGAGATTAATGAGTTGGGTTTTTTTGGATGCAACAGGAGTACATCTCAGATCATTGGTTATAGAGGAATCAAATTCAGCTCCCCTGCTCTTGCTTCTGCCATCAGCAACCTCACCCCAGCTTTTACTTTCATTCTTGCCATCATTTTCCGATATCATCCCTCTTCCATCCCATGTTTCAATTACACACATACCCTTTAATGCTAAAATAATGAAATGGCCGATTCTGTAAATAAAGTCTCTGGATTGGCAGTTAAAAATTTGGTTTAGACCTGATGTCATTTATGTCATATGTTAGTTCTTTTCTTTTGTGGTGGGATCCCTTTAGTTTTGTTGAGCCGCCTTTAACTTTAGTAGGACTTGACTTTTTCCTAGCTGGTGAAATTTCCATGAAACTGCAGAAACTATAACACTTCTGGGTTAAAGTCATTTTCTCCTTTGCACCAAAATGTACTTAAATTTCTATGCTCTCTTCTTGAATGCCCTTCACCACCATTTTCTTCTGTCCTTATTTGAAGTTCTTTGGTTTTTCCTTTTTCCAAGGATGGAGAAGATAGCATTGAAACGAGCAAGCAGCAAGGCTAAAGTTATCGGCACCCTTGTATCAATTACAGGTGCATTTGTAGCGACTATCTACCAAGGACCACCAATCGCTCTAGAATCAACCCCAACAAAATTATCTGGGAGTTTTGGTACTCTTCACCCTGGAAAATCAAATTGGGTTATTGGTGGCATTTTTCAGTCTGTAGAGTATATTCTGACTCTACAGACTATTTTTTGTATTTTTTTAGTTTTTACATTAATTAGTGTGTTAAATTTATTTAAGTATGTATATTTTAAATTGACAAATTTATAAGTTGAAAAATTAAAAATGTACATATATTATAAGTTTAAGAATTTAAAATATACATATTTAAATAATTGTAAATTTGTAATGGATTAACTAATTAAAGAATTAAAAATTTTTTTTTATAGTTTAAAAATTAAAAAATATAAAAAAATAATTTAGAGATTGAAAAATTTTAAAATTAAAAGACTGAGGACTAAAGTTAACATTAACCAAAATTTAACAGACCCTTAACTTCGACGGCCTTTATGGTGTTTGAAAAAGAAAAAAAAATTAATGTAA